CACCGAGGAGCTCTGTGGCCAGGAAAGCAGCTGTGGTCGCTGCATTAAAGCAGAATCCATCACTGGTGGGAATGCCAATGTTATGCCTGTTTAAATTACCTTGATCTTTTGTGTTTCAAAATGCAGTACTTTAGTCGCAAGACACTAAAACAGGGAAGTGCATGGATCAAGCCTCGCTGCTTTCCAGGGAAAGAGAGGGGGTTGTAGAAAGTTAATAGCACTGGGCTGTGTTTCTGCTCCACTTCCTTTTGCCAACTTGGTTGGGGATCCTGAAATGGTCCCAAGATAGGTCATTTATAGAGGACAATGATCAGGAAAAAACACTGGCTCAAATGAAGGGGGGGATTTCTGACTTACTTATGTGTACTGCAGCGGCCATTCTGATATGGCAAAAAGACAAGAAAACAAATCAAGCTATCATTGTGTAGTCCTTGTGAAGGATACCAGTGACCATTAAAACATTAAGTCAAATATTGACGGCCTCACCGAGCTAATAATGCAAGCAGGAAAAGAAGTAGCGCTATGAAGCACTTATACCACCGGCTGCTTCAAAAAGAAACAGACAGCCAACATCATCCATCTTATATAACGAGCTGTCTCACGTGTAGAGCATCCCATCCTCTCTGTGCGTCCTCTGGAGGGGCCACGGCAATGACACGGACCCAAGGACACAACCAAGGCGTCTACTTCCTGTAGAAAAAGGCATGCATCCCACACACTGACTGACACACATACAACTGCTTGATTGCTCTCACATAGCCATAATAAAGTCAGTATTTAAAACACAGGGACGAGAGATCACTGGGTCGCAGCCAGAGTTGTACCATCTGCAGCTTCAAGAGCTCTCTGTGAATCATCAGTGTCTTCTGAGCTATAACCACAAAAAACCATTAAGCCGCATATATAAGACTTAAGATCAGCCACATCATTTATTGATAATGGTGTCAGGAATGTTAACATTTTGCATTTCTCTTCTAATTGTATTATAAAGGCATTCATATATATAGTTTGGCACGTTTCCACTGCAAATTCCTAACAATTACTCAGCCCCTGTATATCAAAAATATTGGTTGACATGACCAAATTAATTTGTGCACTAAGATTACACCGACCCTGAAGCAAATAATCCACACTCAACCATACAGCACACTCACACACAAATTCATGCAGACCTGTGGGATTGTGTGGGAGGTCACTGTGGTCAGTGTGTCGCTGGAACAGAGTTCAGCAGTGGCTGCAAGCGGTGGTAGGGCACAAATTACTGGCGCCTCACTCCTGCTATTACCACTACTGCTTCTACTGCTACTGCGAAACCACCAAAGCATCCTGGGAAGTATAAACAAGGGGAGCACATAGTACGCGCTGGTGGTCACAGAAGGAGAGGAGAAACTAAGAAAGATTATACAGAGTTAGAAGTAACTGAGATGGTGGGATATTAGGGAGAGACAATTTGGTGGGAGATTGGGGCGGTAAGAGGGAGAGAAAATGTAAAAAAGATGACAGTAAAACCTAAAAAAAAATTTAAAAAAGAACACCGGTTTTGGGAAAGCAAAAGTGAAGTTAGTAACAAAGAAATGCGGCGGAAAAATTAAAACCATTTAAACTAAAAACTAATCAGGTTTGAGTTGATATCCAAGTTAGTGCTGGCTGATGAATCTCCTCAGACCTCATTGCACACAATGAAGTATGAGCATGACTGTTGATTTTAATCAATTACCAGAACATTTTTATAGTCTGTCTGTTCTTTGGGATTAAAACCAAAGTCTTATTGAGTCCACCCCACCCCTCCTCACTAAATCGTGGAATTTCGTTTTGGACAGGGAATGAAATCTTATACCCGAACGCTCCCCCGCGAAGGACACTGACCATCTGTGTTATCAGCTAGACCTCGATATGAAACACCTTCCACTATTGCAAAAGTCCTGGACATCAAACAACTATTAGGGAGGAGAAATTCCTAAAGGAATGAAAAAAGAAAAGAAAAAAAGAAGGCACATGGAAGTGAACAGCTAGTCTGCATGTTCAGTGTGTGTGTGTGTGTGTGTGTGTGTGTGTGTGTCCTGGCACTGGCCTGAGGATTTCTGGTTGGGTAACATAAGGACAAACTTACATCTGGATGCAGATCTGGATCTTGAGATTGCAAACACGGTGGAAGGGCCAAGTAAGAGGTCATCACTTTAACAGTGCAGACCCCCATTGCGTCATTAGACCGGTTTAAAGAGAACTATCTCCACTGACCTTTTGTGTAGCAAGGTTATTATAGTTTTGAATGTTTCACTAGTTTTTATTTTTATTTAGTTTTGACTTTTTGTTTTCAATTTCAGTTTAGTTTTAATTAGTTTTTAAAGTGGGTTTGCTACTTTAGTTTTTATTTTTTGAAAATGCTTAGTTTTAGTTTAGTTTTTATTAGTTTTAGTCATTACCGCAAACTGTAACAGACCAGGGGGGGGGGGGGCGCAGTCAGGGAAGCTTCTATTTTTTGTTGAAAAACAGAATGCTCAAAATGGATTGTAGATACAAGCTATAATAAGTAATACAAACTCCACAAAACATTTTAAAAATGTATTTTGGACAGATGAACAGCCCTCTACAAAAGACAACTGTGAAATATGTGTCAGTCAGTGTGTTTGTGTCCACTGGACACAACCATATCCACAACAGAACATAAAATGTAGATATGGGTACAAATATGTAAACAGTCTACACAAGATGCAATAGCCAATAGACTAAAGACACACGTGAACAGCATGTACTAAACCCATTAATGAGCCACACATGACATGCGAGATATAGAGCTTGTTTCAGGGCGCGTCGGAGAAACAAAGCTGTCGTTCTTGCCGAGCACTTCATGAGATTAAAGAGCGAGAGACGGTGCCCTTTTCTCTACAGTAGCTGAACCATCTAAACGGGGAAAATAAGTTATAAAAAAAATAAGGAGCCGAAGATTTAAGGCGTGGATGGCGAGGGGGGCGGTGGGAGCGGACGCATCTCGCGGCATCGATCGGACCCAGAAAGCACCGTCTCCACCTTACTGTCAAAAAGAACAACAGCGAATGCGTAGAAAACTCTTTCCAGAGATCGAGAGATTCTCCTCGCGAGCAACGAAATTTACGTTTCGCAAGCGAGCAAATACCTCGCGGAGACGAACTTTTGCTCGCGCGAGACCGACTTTTGCTCGCAGATGTTTGATTTTGGTTAAATTCTTAAGGTCATTTAATCATTATGTTTTGATCAGAGTTGTGATTAAAGGTTTGGGTGGGCCGCGAAAGATTTTTAGATCTCAAAGTGGGCCGCGGCATTCTTGAGTTTGGGAACCGCTGTTCTATAGCATTGACAAAGACGAAAACGAAAGACATTTTCTCTATAATTCTATTTTATTTTAGTTAGTTTTGTCAAGACACAATACATTTTCAGCAAGTTATCGTTTTTTTAATAAAGGCTCGTTTTTATTTCAGTTAGCGGAAAAAAATCACACCTCGTTTTCGTTTTTTCGTTAGTTTTCGTTAACGATAATAACCTTGCTGTGTAGTGCAGGAAACAGACTCATGCCATGGTGAAACTACAGAAGGGAGGGCATACAGTGGACCCCAGGAACCCAAGCTCTTTACCTGAATGCACCACAGCATGCACAGGCCACCCCAGCTCACTCTGCTTCTCATCTCCTCCTTTTACATTTCTCCTCCGTGCTAAAGCCTCGGGACAGCTAACATATTCTTTTAGGCCCACAAGTGTCACCACAATTTCAAAAGCAGCTACGCCACCCGAAGTCTTTGGTTAGATCATAGGAATTATTGCAGAATTTCTCCCCACGAAACATATACTTACACAACCCATCACCTATTCCCCCTTCGTTCTCCTGCCTGTGAAACTCTTTTTTCCTTTAACCTGCCAGCACACAGACCAGATGTGCTAATGTTTCACTGCGTTTCTATCCCAGCCGAGTTCCAAGAGAAAGCCAAGAGTGAGAGGGAGAGGAATATTTTACTTCACTCCACTGGAGACCAGTTTCATAGATGTTGGCGGCCGTGCAACGGTGAAAAAGGTAGCTTGGCCGGCCTAGCCGAGGGAGAATGTTGACGGCATACCAAACAACATGATCCTAATGACTTGGAAAATCCCTGGCCCTCCCGAGGACCGTCCAGATGCTACCGTCATGAGAAAGGCTACTGTTTTATGGAATGCAGGCTCCCCTCCCTTTCTTTAACAAGGGGCAGAATGTATTATTTGTCCATTAAGGCATCCTAGGTGACACAAAGCGTAAAAAGAGTTCATTTGGCTTTGGCTGCCTATAATGGCCACAGGGTGGGTTGGTATTTAAGCCAAAGCGGGGGGGGGGGGGGTTGCGTGAACATATGTATCCGGAGAGCTTAAGTTTTGAATATGTACTTTTCTCGGTAGACTTTGTTTGGATCAAATGATTGTCGGGCACATGTGTGGAGTCCTGAGACTTTTTTAGAACAGAGTTAAATCACTTTGAGCTCAAGCCAGTTCCATATATCTCTCATTTTGGTGGCACTGAGAAACAAGCCTGACTTTAAGGAGAGCTAAACAAACAAAAGACGCAAATAAATGAACTACAATGATGCAAGAGCTGAGGAACAGAGTGACGTAGCTTGTCTGGTCAGGAGTGAAATACAGCGTGAGCTGCTAAAGGCGCCCTCAATCTTCCCCATTTGACTCTGAGTCGCTGCTGCTGAATGTTCACTCCAACCCTGCAATCGCCAGTGCAACTGGAAAAAATCCTACGGGACTATTGTCATACAAAGCAATCAAAAACACATGCAGAAAAGAGAACACAGCCTTTCACAATGAATTCTTTGGACATTCTATTGGATGGCGAGAAAACATTGCGCTTGAGCCATTTCACTAAAACAGGAAAAATAAAGATATCTACACATATTCACGATACAAACATTTCCCCAGCTGCTTCAAAGAGAATCGTGGGCCTGTGGTGTAGATGTGGGGACAGTCACCCGGTGTGGGAGCTTTACGCCGCTTACCTGGAGCTTTGTGCACTTCACGCAGCAGGCTTTCGCTGAGGGTCGACGGCACTCCGCTGAGCATGCTGTGGGTCCAGCTCTGACAGATTGCCTGAAGCAGGAGCGTCTGGGCCCTGGTGGCCTGGAGGGTGAAGTGGGGGAGCTCGAAAATACACTCTGTGGTGGGGACTGAAGACCTTTTGCTCCTGCGAGAGAGACGTTTAGAGAAAGAAAGTCAGCGTTACATAAGGGATAGGACACAGAAATAGTCGGGACATGGGGACGGTAATGAATGAAAAGAGGAAAGCACCAAAAGCGCCAGAATGCACCTAATGAAATGGACACTGGTGGAAACGAACGGTTCATGACTTCCATGAATCCATCAATATCACTTCCCAATCTAAAACGGCTCATTGATAGCACCAGGGGCCAAATAGGTGGAGCGGCGCTCCAGCAGCGAGTTGGAGGTACGGAGAGCGAGCCAAGCTTTCCTCAGTTACTTGGCAGGTAGGACTCCGTTTGCCTCCTTGCCGCGCCGACCCCGCTCTGTCTCCCCTGCGTCAAAAACTGTGATGATGATTTATGCGAAGGGATGTGCAGCCCAGAAACCCGACCCCAAAAAAGAATCTCTATGCATTTAACATTTTATCTGTCTCCAAGAGAGTGGAGGGAGAGGGTTTGTGTGTGACAGGGAGACAAGCTGATGAGTTAAGCGTTCAGGGGGATGAGGTAACAGCACAGTTGGATGGAGTCCTCCAGGACCCTGTCCATCACAACCTCAGTGGACCATGCTCTCATTTATCATCTGACACACACACAAACTTTAATTTTTCTTCGATCTCCACTTTGTAGTCTTTGCCTCACTGTCTCCCTCATTCCCTCCGTAATCATCATTCATAATCAGGCAGTCGAAACACAAAAGTGCACATCTCCAATCGGGCTTCCTGGGAGTTTTTTTTCTATTGGTATCGAGATATCAGGGCTCCTAGGTTCTTGAGATCCTCTCTGTGACATCAGCTACAGCAGGAGGAGGGATTCCCCAAAGTGCACACACACACACACACACACACACACACACACACACACACACACACACACACATGCACGCACACAGCAACCAAGGTGTGACATGGAATGTTGTGCTGAGAGTGATGGCAAAGTTATTGTCATCACTACCGATCTATGTCTCTTCTCTCCCTCTCTCCTTGTGTGGATGCGATACTGCGGGAGACAGAACTAAACACTGCAAAACAAGTTTGGTTCTACTCCTCTCTTCTGTTGTTCTTCAATTGGGCTTTTCAAGGACTGGCAGTGCTGCCTGCCTCAACACCAGTTTACTGTTCTGAGGTGTGACTAATACCAGGGATGGCTGCGGCGGAGCGAGCCCCACTGTTCATCTGGTCACACGTCCTTCCCCAGTTCAGAGTGTGGGTTTGTATCGCTCGGCAGCTCTGCAATCGTTTAACTTCCTTAGTCTCTTTATCTCTCCCTTTTATTCTCTTCTCCTGGGTGGTTCAGCGGGGTGACATGAGCTGTAAGCCGCTCACAGGCATGGGCCCCCGGAGTTGTTAATGCTTTCTCAGATGGGGGTGGGAGGGGGACTACCATGAGACGGAATGCTAGAGAGAGTTTGATGAAGAGAGATGTAAGGGCACAGGGAAAACAAAGGCACCGAGAAACTCCTAAACGTGACAGGGTCAATGAGTTTACCTTCACAGCACGCATACACTGTTTTTTTTTTAATTCCCATGAAAAACATGGAACCGTGCAGCGTCATGCCTCTCCACTATTAGAAATTACTACTGTTGCATGCTATATTGCAAGACATAAATCAAGCCATTTTCACGTGTTTTTGCACGTGTGTGTGTGTTTATGTGTAGACGTAGCACACATTGCCGCTGAACAAAAGAAAGTGAAGGCGACCCCGGCAACAACAATGTCCCCCACATGCAGCGCAAATGTGCCTGCAAAGCCACTTCAATGAGAGGACTGGCAAGGGATGAAAGTTTGTTGGCTTATTCCAGTGTTTACGGCGTTTTGGGGAGCTGTCATGTGCATGCGGTCGTCTAAAAACTTTAATTGTGCACCTGTTTTTATTATATTGTGCCCAACTCCTTGTGAACAGCGACTTGGATCTTCGGAGCTAAATGAGAAGCAGAAACTCTCATTAGGATGTTTTGGGAACGCGGAACGTGAGGACAGCCAGACACTCATCGGATTTCATTAAGTAGCTGGCACGGACAGGGTTTCTCGCTGCAACATGGTAAACAGCTTTCTGGCAGGCAGCTCTTCCACTGTTATCACAAAGGCTCGGAGGGAAACTAAAGGAAAAATTAGAAGCACTTGTACCTGATGCACCAGCAGCAGTAACAGACGACTACAATGAAAGTCGCATAACACTGGTTCAGTCGCCATGTTGGAAACCTAGCCTGGGGAGCAAAACTCATTAAAGCATACTTGTACTCTCAGATCGTGGAGACCCACCAGAAATAGGCCCGCAAACCATTTGGGAATGTGACTCATATTTTAAGAAATCAGGACCATGGCTTGAACTTCAGTGCCTCATTGAACAGGCTGTGTGTGACTCTAGAGCAGTCCGTTGAGTCAATAACTTTTTATATTGAAAGACAGAGGCCACCAGGAATATGTTTAAAATGATATCTAAATTAGTCAGGAGCTATGAAAAATGAAGTGTTTTACTTTCCTCTGGTGTATTTCAACAACATTAGAGTTCATATCCTCCACCTGTCCCCCCTGTTGGTGCCGTGACTGAGTGACGAAGACTGGACCGGGGCTGGGACAAGCCACTTGGCGGACTTGCTGACTGCTTGGCTAGGCGGACTGGGCGGGAACAAAGTGTCCTTGTCATAATCAGGCACCCGTGGTGGTTCTTTTAGTCATGAAAATGAATGGGTGGAAGGTAAAAAGGGAGTAGGCTGAACAGAGAAACCTTGCAGAGTATCAAGGATGGATGGAATGGTCGATACCAGCGTGTACTAATGGGTACATTTGCTCTACATTTTTAAACTTAATTAATTTATAGTTATTCAAATTCTTCCAAAACCCACAATCACATCCTTATAGCTGAGATCCACGTGGGCCATTGCTTCTCAGGCTTATCAGCTTCCCGGTCTGCTCCGAATGTGGTCATAGCTATATTTAGACGGATACAGCTGGGGCTTGAGGCCACACACCACAGGCACATTAAATGCACACAGACACGCAACCACAAAAATGCACATACCTGTATAGATACACATGCACTAGTGTTTGCCAACATGTACACCTGCCAACACACATGCTGTCAGACAAGCACATGTGTACACACACACACACACACACACACACACACCTGTGCACACATAGTGCAGTCCAATAACATAACAGCAGGTTGTTCAGCCAGAGCACGCTCAACTGCAGTAATGAGGCCCTGGCTTACAGGGGGGGGCCGCAGCGCTAACAACCGGGAAGAGGCTGTGTGTTTAAACTACGCTAAGCGTGCATGCTTCTTCTGCAAATCCAGCAAACAGGGAGAGCACACCAAAAGAGCTACAATAATCAAACCCTGCAGAAAACAGGAGCACGGGCGAGGTAGAAAACCGCAAGCGCCGGCAGAGAGAAGGTTTATACCCGCCATCATGCAGGTCGTGTGTTATTGTGCAGGTGACGGGGGAGGCATTTGGAAGAGGTCAAGAACAAACTCTGAGAGTACCTCGTGGCAGCCTACCAGTCCTGCTATCCCTCAGACACAAACAAGAGACAATTACAGGAGTGTGATTACATGTAGCTGTCAGTATGCTTCTGAGAAAGCAAGCATGAAGCAAACTGCAGCCTGTGAAGTGCAGGTCAGTACAAAGCCAGCAAATGCTTTTTCTTTCTAAGATCAGCACGATTGAAGGAATATTGCCAAGAGCAGCGGCTCCTAATGGTTTACACAGCATCCCAGAATACAAGCTCAGACCCTGCGCTCCGTTTCCAGAGTCTTCATTTCAGTTATTACTCATATCTTGTACATTCCACACAAAAATGATCAGGTCGGCGAGAGATGTGGAGCAAGGTGTCTTCTTAGAGGAGAGGGAGTGCATATAACTCTACTCAAGTGGAGCTAATATAACTATTTTCACATGAACTGGAACATAACAGCCAAATAAATTGTTAGTGGAAGTACTCGAAAATATAGTGTAGGCTGGAGACAGTGAACCAAGTAGCCAATCAATGTCGAGGGGGCCTCACAATGTGCTACTTTCTCTTCGCTTCAACTTATCTGAGACCATAGTAACGCTGATGTGATCCATTACGGGCTGGCATACTTGTCTGAAAGATACAACAGAGCCACCGTCTTGGGACTAGTGATAAGTTATCTGCAGTTTCTACGAATCATTCACAGTCACACCCTACCTTAATAATCAATACAAACATGCCCCTACACAAACAGGGAGACAAACCCTCCACGGCCATTGTTTTCCAATTGCGAGCACTCTTTTGGAGGGAACCAGAGGGGGAAGAAAAGACTTGTACCTTCCCTTTTTTACTTCTTTGTGTTGCAGATTGATTTGAAGTATTGCAGAATTTCCCCCCGCACCCTCATCTCTCCAAGCCAAGGTCAGTGACCCCTCTTGAAAATAACCAGAGTGAGTTATGGGCTGCTCTCAAGTCCCCTCTTTTATCCTACTACAAAAGACCCTCTACAGTGTCTTCAAATGAACATTATAAATCATACAAGCACTCGGCGCTTAACAACAACACCTAAGTGGCCGACTGCGGTGGGGGGAGCATAATACCACCTGGGTGTCAAGTGAGTTAAATGACAGGCATTTCAATAACTAAAAAAATAATAAGTTATTTTAACGTAGAGGAGCCAAGCAAGGGAAAAAATGACTGTAAGAAATCATAAAAAAAGGGCACATTTTTAGTAGTAGATTTCTAGTAGTTTTTTTTCCAATTAATTTGTTTGACTGCAAAGGACCCATATCATTGGCTTGGGTAATGTAACCAGAGCTGCCGCTGTAGCGATTGTCTTGGTGACTAAATGGGACTTAAAATCCAGTTCTGAGAAAAAATGACTTTGAGTGACTAAAAGGGCTTTCCAAAATGTTACCCTTCACAAGTGATGGTATTTTCCTTCCTTGCACTGTTAAAGTATCACAGGTACTTTCAACCATCTTTTATTAACTCACACATATACTACTTGAATACCGTCAGGTAT